TAAATCCTTTATATGCGTGGCGGCTAGAGTTCTCTCGTCCTCTGGCTTGAGATGGCTGCAATCTATGGGTCAGATGATTGTCTGCCAGTATTAAGCAATTGGTAATTAAATATTTAATTAGTTTTCCCTAAACAGTGTAAAATTTTGGAGAAAAAAATTTCACGAAAATTAATTGTCACACACAACGAGTCTGTGTGGAAAATGTCAGCTCGATTGGATCACGGGAAGTGGGTTAAAAAACGAGCGAAAGATTTGCACGGTCCTAAGCAAGCAAGCGAACTTAATATAAAGGATTTAAAAATAAAACTTTATAAAATAATTCTCACGACGTTTCAGGCCACAACGCAAGCAGCCGTCCTCAGGTGAAGAACAGGTCTGTCGGAAAGACAGACCTGTTCTTCACCTGAGGACGGCTTCTGTCGGAAAGACAGACCTGTTCTTCACCTGAGGACGGCTGCTTGCGTTGTGGCCGAAACGTCGTGAGAATTATTTTAGTATGTTTTATTTGTATTATTTTATTATTTCCCTTCTACGTGACTTTACCGAAAGAACCAAGAAGATGAATCCCTGCAGTCACGAAAGCTTTAAATCGAAATTTAACATTCCTGAAGATTAAAAAAGGGGCAAAAACAAAACAATGTACAGCATTCTGATAATAGCGTTAAACAAAGCCTGTTCTTCATAAACTTTAAGAGTGTATGACTACAGGTCATAGTAATTATCATCACCAGCCATGGTCAATCATCTGCTGGATGAAGGCCTCCGTACGCGATCCCGTGATATAACAAACCACTCGTAGTGGCTGCCGCACCACCTGATTGCATCGCTCGCTCCATCTCCCAGGATGGAAGTTCCCGTCGGGCGAATTCCACTGCTGTGCTGCCACCCCGGTCACTCTTCTTCATCATCGGCCATCATTTCTCCTGTCCAAGCCACTTTTAGAATTCCTTCACAGTTAGAATGCTGCCATTATCCGGCGTCTTTTCACCCATCCTTGCGCTCCTGTCTCTCAATGCTATTTCGAGGCGTGCTTCTATTCACGCTTATTTGCGCACTTTTCACTTTTTGTTCATCTTGTTGTTAATAACCACGTTTCTGAACCATGTCATAGCATGACGAGTAGCACACATTGATGCGAAAAATATACATTCTTTCTCACTAAAACAATAACTCTGCCAGACACGCACAGAACGCTAAATCTGCTTGACAAATACATTTGAATGCATCAGTGCGAGGATAATGCGAGGACACATAAATACATACCCTTTCACACCAGTGAAAAAAAAATCCCACCCAATCTGGTATTCTGATGGGACTCATGCACCCCATTAAATATTAATATTTAGAGTAGGCATTTGTGTTTATGCTGACAGCAACATAGAGCAGCACGTTTGGCAGTCATGCCTCGTGTCTGCGCCTCTGGGAATGGCCTGGGAATGGTTTCGAGTGGCTAGAGTCAATCAGTGCCTTGCTTTGTGGTACCCACGTCATCACCATCGTCAACATAATTCGATATCCTCTATCCACTGCTGGATGACGGCCACCTCATGCCATTGGTTATCTCACCTGGTCTTGCGATCCAGCTATCCGTATTGCTCCTGAACAGCAGATGCTTTCATCACTTCATCGCTCGATCGTGTTCTCTCCTTCACTGCCATTATTACCACCAGCCATCAACCCTCCTTGCGGTGTCTTACCCAAGCTCAATCACTGTTCTTAACAATAATATCATTACGCCATCTATAACTTGCATAATGTTGTCTTGATCCACGTGTTCTGCCTCGCAGTAGAATTTCATGCGCGCTTCTTCGCATTTTTCAGCTTTTGTGCCACTGCACTTGCGTTGTCAACGTTCACGTTTCTGATCGATACGTCACAATAAACATCGACTAAAGTTTTCTCCTCCATGCGCATGGGTATATTGCTTTTCATTATGAAGTTCAGTGTTCCAAAATCACTCCCGTTTGCCTCTCCATTTGAGAACTTTGATTTCGTCCCACTTTCGATAACTGCACTCGGTATACATACGGATGCAATGCAAATTTAATTTAGACAAAGAGAGAGCAACGTTAGTTTCTGGCGTCAGCAAGATATTTGACGTAACAATTTCCAGGGGAGGAGAAGAGGTGGCTCATTTTTTTACTCGCTCTAAGCTACAAATTTAAATGCCCAAATCGAGCAAAATTAGTAAATGGACGTCACTAATATGGCACCGAAACGTGTACTGAAATAGTACGAAAAAAACTTGGACAGTGGCTGTGTTTAGAATTTGAACACATCAATAAATATAAAAAACGATACATTTTATTATTATTATATATATTTTTGGTATAAATCTTTAATCGGCCCAGACAGAATGTTGCCATAATCATCATCAGGGTGACCATGCATTTAAATCTACTGCCAAATGAAATAATCCAAATGATGACCCCCACTTATCCATGGCCCTATGTACCTCCAAACGAGCTCATTCCTGAGCAGTTTCTAATCCACCCAACTCTTCTATAGACCTCCCCCTCCCCGTGCCTCGCACACATACTTATTTATTTGTTACAAGATATAAATTGAGTTTGTGGATTTCATCTCGAACGGTTCACAGAGATTAGACCGAAAATCCGCACATTTACATACACCCTTAAGTCCACGTGTGCTCAAAAAACCAGATGATAAAAATTAGATCTAATCCGATGTCTACTTTATTTTAAACTTAGCTTTGCAAAAAACACCGGCATTTAATTAAAGTGTGGTTCAGAAATGTAGTTCACCAATCAGGAACTTAGCAAGAGATTTAATAATAATAATACTGTAATCAAGTGTCAATAAGTCAGTGATTTAATGCTCAAATACGCATTTAGGAAGTCCTCATCTTCTGCTCACAGCCCCGAGTCAGTGGTGGACATGTTGCATTCCTACGGTGGGGGGATGGGTGCGTCCGACGTTCCCACAAAGTGGTACCTATTTTAGTAACCCCGGAGGGATGATGGCCTGACAACCTCCAACCAGTATTTCAACTCGCACCATCCTGATCGCGAGCCCACTCTACCACTGTGAGCCACCACACCAGCTCATAACACTAGTACTCGAATAAAAATAGCATTCCTAAGGAAATACACGTGTCAGTTTAATTCCTAGCATTCCAGCATTTCACAACGTAAAGCCTGCAACAGCTGCACATTTCGCACGACGCTATCGGCTTCAAATTGCAAAATGACAAACATTCTTCTTCTTCTTCTTCAACCGAGCAACTCGCGGGTGCGGCAAACGTGAATTAAAAAAAACGAACTCGGCAGAGGATTTTGTTTTGGTTAAACGGCGAGAGCGATACAGGCGGGTCCGCTGTTGAAGTGGGAGGTGGGGGGGACGGCGCCTATGGGATCTTATCTCGGACGCACGGCTCCCCGCCTCCACGTCTCATCGTGCCGAGACGGGGAGGCGCGGGCAGAGACGTGAACAGGGGGCGACCGCACCTGAGGGGGCAAATATGGAGGCAGAGAATTGCGTTGAGATGTCACCGCTACTCAAGTGGGTAACATTGCAGCGGCCGCTTCATTACTACTGTGACCCACTACATCACCACTGTGGCCCACTACATCACTACTGTGGCCCACTACATCACTACTGTGTCTCACTACATCACTATTGTGGCCACCACTATCGCCACTACTAGCAGTGTCAATTCAATGCAATTCACATTTAATGAGAATAGAAACATAATTATTTTTAAAATACATTTCACGCTTAAAATACTCATTTAGAGAGTGCTTTTCTTCCTTTTACAAGTGGTGGAAATGTTGCATTCCTTTGGTGGGGGGGGGGGGGGGTTATCCGACGCCCCCATAAAGTGGTACATATTTTAATGGCCTAGAAATGATGATGGGTTGACAACCGCCAAGCAGGATTTCAACAAGTAACATTATTTTATAAATGTATTCATCAGGGAAATACCTATATACCTAGTCTCAAGACATTTTTCAAGATTCTGCTATATGCGATGTTTGTACAATTTCATTAAAAAATGTTTGAGTGGGGGGGGGGGGGGTTCGTATGGAAGGAAACTAGAGCACCTGCAGAAAAAAACCTGGGTTTTGTCTGGGATAACAATGAAAGGCCCACACAGATGGATGCACACCCCGTTTTCTGGACTCTCATACACTACCTGCTATAATGCATGGTTCAAAAATAATTCATGAAACATAGATTTAAAAAAACTGAAAAGTGCACACAGAAGCATGGACAGGTGCATGCTTGAACATGCATTTGTACGCGCAGATGAAATGAGGACAACCTTTATCACTGTCTGAAGGGAAGAGTCCTACATTCTTTTGGAATTGGTTGGATAATTTGCATGGGTGTCTCGCCCTCGACTCCAGAGACAGGGAATAAAGGATGAGTGGCATCCTGAATCAACGCTACTGGCGTCCGGGCCTTGGGGACGAGGGGCACGTGCAGGATGGATGCTCATAATGCTCTGAGAGTGGACGGGTAGGTAGGTAATTATAGATTTGAAGCTTTCGTGACTGCAATGATTCATACTCTTCGTTTTTTCGGTAAAGTCACGTAGGTTTAAAAAAATGAAATTAAAATTAATACAAATAAAATAATAAAATTCACGACGTTTCGGAGGCAACACAAGTCTCCGTCATCAGGTGGGACCGTCACAGCCAGATTTGCTGTATTCACTTGATTTGCTGTATTCACTTGATACAGCAAATCTGGCTGTGACGGTCCCACCTGATGACGGAGACTTGTGTTGCCTCCGAAACGTCGTGATTTTTATTATTTTATTTTTATAAATTTAAATTTCAAATTTTTTTTTACCTACGTGACTTTACCGAAAAAACTAAGAGTATGGGTAGGTAGGTAATCAACTAATTTCTCTGCAGGACAGAACACGGCAATGACGTTTGTCGAGTGGGTCTTTGTTTAACGCGATTATCATTTACGCTCGATTGTGGTCCCGCTCACCGAATCGAAACTTTCGAGGAAAATCGAAGTGCACGTTGTATTCATGTTTGTTTATTGAGAAACAAAAAATCGACGACTCGACCTCGGTACAAAATGAGAAGAAGAAGAAGAAAATCCTTTATGTTTAAAAGCACCCGATAAAAATGTTTCAACAGATTGAATAACTGAAATATGCAGTTAAAACATGTATTTTGGCTGCATTTATTTTAAATAATAATAGTAACCAGCCCCTTATTAATGAGAAATTAAAATAAACAAGAGTTAAACACTTTAATACTGTGCAGCAAATTGACGCTGCAAACATTTAACACGCGCTATACAAATTATAATTACAGCACAGTAATGAGATATTAAGAAATATATTATCGCGGTGTAAAAGGCTTTATAAAAATGCAAACAAATGTAAAAAATATAATTGCAATACTATGGCGAAGGTAAAAAAAAAAGTCTTTGTTGTTTTGTTTTCAAAATCAGAATATGCATTTATACTGTTTTAGAGAAGTTGCTCTATGGATATGAACCCGAGGCAAGCATTGGCGAACACGCAGGGAGATAAAACTAGAAACGATTTAAATTTTACCAGGTAAGGCCCATTGAACTATGTAGCTATTTTTTAAAAGCGACCTGGCCACAAATGATAGTTCAACGAAGTGGCTTATCGTGTGGCAATGTATAGCAGTAGCCAAATAACTCGAAACGCAAATTGTTTCTAAATGTGGAGGTACAAACCGGAGGACCCGGAGAAAAAACCCACGCAACCACGGGGAGAACATGCAAAATCCAAATATACAGCAGGCCTCAGGGTCGGGATCTAACCCACGACCTCCTGTATACCAGGCGAGGTAGCTAACATCTCGCCACCGTGACGAAAGGGGGGGATGGGAGTTAGAAACTATCGGTTCGAACATCCTTGATATAGGTCAAGTATGTTCACACGTCCGTTGGATATGGAGCCCTCTCCATTGCGTGTACACGACCGCACAAGCTCTTCTGTCAATCCACCTCTGGATGAGGGCAAGATTTCCCAGGTCGATTTGCTCGACCATACTTCACCACGCTGGTCAGTGTGGGATGGTAAAGGCAGGAAGCATACACTCGAGAGCATAAAAGTACGAGTACAACATTGGATTTTGAAGCACCCACAAATCTCCGTCCAGCGTATGTGGATTGTGGTCACCCATCAAAGGCCCTATCGAAGGTCAACCCGACTTAACTCTGACGCATTCTTGTTGATTTGGTTACAGGTAACACCATGCACATGGCCACTACATTGGTATTCCAGCATATAAAGGTATCGCAAGTCTTATTACACAGGACATCTCGTGTCTACCAGTCAATCGCGCTGCAGTGTGTCCCGTAACGTACATGCGAAAATATAACAATGTCCTGCACGATAAAACTCTAGAGGAAAAAAACACCCCACACCACACCCCCCGTTGCCTCTGCGGGTGGGTTTATTGCACAGGCCTGCACCTGCACCAATGCTCAACCCGGCTGAGATAAGATTGGCAGACCTGTAAAGACGCACACACACACACACTCTGTTGTGGAGGACGCGAAGAGCCTGTGTTTGCTCGACAATCACTGCATCCAACAAACCTTGCACCTGATTCTCAGTTCTAGGCACTTCGATTCTTTGGGAGGGAGGGAGGGGGAGGAACTCCGAGTCCATTTCCTCCTGAAAGGATCATTTGTTAACAGTGAATTAAACAAAGCAGAATCCGATCAGCCAAATGAGCAGGCCTGTGTTGTCCCGTGACGCACAGGGCAGATGTGGCCAGGGCTGATTACAGCTGATCGGTAGCTTTCTGTTCCATCCCTGACAGAGATGGGGGAGCATAAAGATTATTGATGCCGGTGGTGCAGGGGTCGACAAAAAAAAATAACAAGCAGAGCCATTTGTTTTCGAATTCGGGAGAGAACAAAAAAAAACCCCCCCCCCTCGATATTTCAAAAGCCGCAATGCAATGTGGATACTAGACGGTCGTCCTGAATAAATAACGGTCACGAAACAGCGGTCCTTAAAGGGATGCACGCGGCTCCACAGCCGCTGGTGGCCGACCCCTGCTGTGGGTAAAACGTGAGCCACGTTACCCGGATAAGTTGACGGAATGTTGGTAGACTCTTGCATTATTCATGATCAACGTTGTTGGGTTCGATCGCGTTATTTATAAATGTATCGTAACCCTCCACCACCCGACCAATCAGCTAAAAAGTGTCACGTTGACAAAAGACAAATAGTTCACTGGTTTAGCAAAGACCTCACCATTCTGGCGAATTGCCCGATAATGCTGGATGCAATTATCAGCGAAAAGTCGTACTCAAAAATTGTAAATGTTGTGGTTTCACGCTTCAACACACCGGTGGGCTAAAGCAGTGAACTTTTTGTCAACGTGACACTTTTTTGCTGATTGGCCGTGTCGGGTGGTGGAGGGTTATGACACATTTAAAAATATCGCGATCTAACCCCAAAACGTTGATTATGAATAATATTGGTCGCGAAAGCCTGCTATGTGTTAAATCTTGCATAATTATAATCTCATTATCAGCTATGATGAAGGGCTACCCCGCCAAGTCCTTGCCATCTCCCAAGATCCTGAGATTGAATCATCTAACTCTAGTACCACTAGTACCTGCACAAGAGGTGATTTCATCAGTTCCATCTCCACAGCAGACATTACTCTCGTCTTCTCCTACGCAATAAGTAACGTTTTGGTGGATCAGCAATAATCTTTATAACATAAAGAAGCTATATACAATAACCACAAACTATTGTCATGGTATATTTAATGCTACATTTCAGTATAAACATATCTCATCGTAAGAATAATAAGGCTTTTTTTTACATTGCAATGTAATGATGTAACAGCTCATGAACGGACCTGGGTGTGTGGTTTACAAACTCTGGAACACACTGGCCTGGAGTGATATGCCTCATTTCAGAAACCATTGGTGACCCAGACTACTGGACCAGGAACGACCTATGAACAGCCCCAGGGCACCACATTGAGGGACAACATCGGATGTGGCCAATGAATACGACGTTCTGTTTGAAACGAGGTCAAACGTCAATCTAGGAAGTGACATCACATCTAGACACGACATTTGGTTTTTAGAAAGTCGCCAACTTACCACCGAGCTGAAACAATAACTCGGCAGTTGCGCACACGTCATAACTGAACATTTTTCTGGCTGTGTCAGGTGGTGGAGGGTCTTAACGATACACATTTAGCCGGATCAATATATGAACCTTATGGCGGGTCCCCGGGGTTCCATAAGCCCCCGGCTCTCGCATAAACTGCGTTGCGACGCCATTTGATGTCTGTTGAAGGCGAACGACACGGCAATCAATTCCGCTCGACGAGCTTTACACGATGCGCTAATCAAAGTTTAACAATTTTTTTCTTCTGCGCATTCGTCCTCGCTGCTGCGCTTGGACGACACGACAACAGAATGATCCGCGCCAGGTGGTTCGCGGCGTTTATGTGCGTGGTGGAACGGAGTCGCCAAAAATAAATTAATTACGATTTTGACTTTCGTTTATTCGGGACCCCGGGGTCCCGCCATAAGGTTCATATACATCACTTGCGAATTGGAAGCTGTGCTGTCGATGTGAGCTGTTGTGAGGACGTATGCTCTTCTCTGGCCAAGTCTGGAACTAGGAATGAGCCAGTGCGGTTCCTGTGTGGTCAATTCCACCCACTGGGTGGTGGCCCAGGCTATTCCCTTTGTTTTGCCACTTTACAACGACAGCTAGAACAATAGGCAATACGGTGTCGCACTGGGAGCTGGATTGACGCCCAGACTATTATGATTAATGCGTTGTTAATTTAGGCAAATTCGACATTTAGAGGGTGTCCCGTGTGTGGAGGTCATTTAAAGGGGAGGGCCTTCCCCCGGAGATGGGGGTCAGAGCCCACGATCACGTGAATTTCCAGAGGCGTCTTCACCCTGCCGCTTGTACCAACCCAAGAACAGACCTGGGTGTTTACGGATGCGTGGGTATAATTATGCAAATAAACGATGCTTTAACATTTTCTAATAACAAAAATACGATTCGACCAACTGCTGACTTGATGACCAAAATGAACACGTATAAATACATTAATGATCCTACAGAAAGCACACTGCAATTTGTTGTGTTTTTTTAATTCACTGTAAGGTGTTTAAAAAAAGGTATAAAAGGATAACATGGACAAGTGTGCTGCTTTTGGATACCCGAAAATTGTACATTAAGAAAGCGTACACCGGCGAGCATGTGTGCTATTAAACAAGCGTAGTGTGCGTGTGATGATGAGTGAATAACATTGCTCTGTGGTTTGTCATCCCCTAGATACTCCACTCATGCCAACCCCCCCATAGTTAAACGCTACTGCTTTCAAAGATAGCCCCAACATTATTGATCAACACACATACTCTTTAGCCCTGTGGGAGGCAATGCGGTTCAATTACTGTAATTTACAGCACTTCCAGAGTCCGTTAATCAACCGCCACTGCTAAGCTGGATTACGACGATACGTTGCCTCCATTTCACTTTTCAAGCATAAATTACCGTGCACGCATAGCATACATTCAAACTTCCATTACAGCGCCGTCATGGCTTTCCTATGGCACGTGTGCATGGGAGCACACATGTGAGTGTATCAATGGAGAACACAAACAGCTCTTCGATAAATGGTATTAAATATGAAGCAATATTGTATACATATACATACTCTATGGGCCTTTCGGTAAAGTCACGTAGATAAAAAATAATAAAACAAATCACGACGTTTCGATCGCTTCACAAGCAATCGTCTTCAACTATCTATCTGCGTGACCCAAAGAGTATGAATTCCTGCAGTCACGAAAGCTTTTAAGTCAAGATTTATACATATACAGTTACAAAAAAAACATTGCGAAAAGTCCAAATGAATTACAACAATGTCTCTGCTAATTAAAATAACTTAATGTGCGAACATTACGTTACAATGCAATGCAATTTGCATTCATATAGCATAGAAATGGGTGCGACACATTCGGGCCGGTTGTGTGTGGTAGGGAAATGCGTGGATACTCCCAACCTCTTCGAAGACCTCTTTCTGGCCAGCTTGGAAGAGTAGGCCAAATACTGTCTCGGGTGGGCTCTCTGGAGCCCCCTTCCAGTGGAGGCCCTTCCACTAGCGGTGGCAGGAGCCGAGTAATTGCAGGGCTGATTGTTTTACTTTCTTTGTTAAATTCGTCGAAGTGCAAACGGCACACCGGGTTTCACTGCAAGGCTTGAGAGTTGGAGCTATTCTCTGGACGTTCGCAAAAGACACCCCCTCTGGACGAAAATAAGCCCTCTCCTCATCCTTTTACGCAAGAGCCATAGAAGAAACGTCCGTGACATCAGAGGGTGGGCGGTGGTGTAACACGAGGGGGGAGGGGGTATATACGTCAGTCACTGCGAGATGTTGGGTCTTTACACTTGTGAAGGCCATTGAGTGGAAAATGAAAATTACGCGTGTGGCTTAAGCATTCCCAATCATTTCCCAAAGCACACTGCTACGCCTAGGCAATAATGGCATCACTATGTCCTCTGCGTAAGACACACATCACGTACATGATACGCAGCTTTGTAAATCCCACACCATTATAAAAAAATTAACCCATGTCCAGCAATTAGTGCATATTCTGTTTGTGGTCATTTCAAAAGAGTGATGTGTGCGAAAGCTGCGGGTAGCACCTGGAGACCGTTTTTTTTATTACATTTAGCGTTTGTCTATGAAACGTGTTATTTGCAAGATATTTATAGGGACATTGAGAGAACAACAAAAACCGTTCGGTTTTTATTTTTCAAACATTTGAACGCACCCTCATTACCCATCAAAGAAAGTTACAGATCTTGGTTGTTTGCAAGTGGTGTACTTGCCTACCTTACCTGCTTATAACAGGAATGTTTACTTTGAATGCAGCTCGTGTTAAAATGGGGAGTGGACGAATATTTTCTTTGAAAGGCAGAAAGTCCTGAGTTTTAAACTCACCCAGATCTTCCATATAAGAAATACATAATTTAGCATCGTCTAAATTTTTTGACAGATTACCATAGAAAAATACCGTTATAACGCTTTTAACAAAACGAGCTCAATTAAATCGGCGGCAGGGAAACGCAGCTGGTAACACTTGTGCCTTGGAGCAAGAAAGAAGGGCTTGCGATCGATTCCCGACTCTGGGCGTCTTTCTGTGCAGAGTTTGTATGCTCTCCCTCCCCCCCCCCCCCCCCTGTTCTGCGTGGGTTCTCCCCTGCGTTATCCCCGTTTCATCCAACAGCAAATATCCCAGTGCTGAAGAATTGCATGCACGTTTTTTGGGATTACGCTCAGAGCAGCATTGCCCCAACTTACAAAAACTTGACAGGACCCTCTTAACAAAAGTCTTGGGACTCTGCGGCTTTCTTGGGTAAACGACGAGTTACGAAAAAAAAGGATGTGATTAGACCGAGAACTCCAAATTCGTTTACCCCCTCGATGCAAGGTCAAACAGTCTTAAAATAAGTAAGCTGCAAAGCTGAACATATTATTCCACAAGAGTTACATATGCTGCTGCCTGCAGAAAGTGTCCTATTTTAGATATAACACGCATGAATAGAGGCGCTAGTGAGCCTTATCCCAGGTCCATATCCACTTGCCCGCTTCCTCTTTTCGATTAACAAGGCCCAACCGCAGGTATTCGTGGTTGTTTTGTGCTCGCTAACAGCACTTGCCCCAACAGTCTGTTGAGGCTATACGGGGGATCTTTGTCTTTGTTGTGCAGCTCTCCGACGTGTTCGGGTTGCGCGACGCGTCGTACGACGTTTCCCTCCATGTCCTGGGAGCCGAGGAAGCCGACGTTCCCGACGTTCCCGCCAGCACATTGGAGCACAACCCGAAAGCGCATCTACGTGGCTGACTGTGGTTCAGCAGGCTTCATCAGTAGAGGAGGTGGGGGGGAGACATCACAGTGGGATGGGAGAGGCTTCGGTGCCACCTTCCTCTACACAGCGGGCCCAGGGTGAGGGGTCACCGTTGGGAGAGGAGCGTCGCTGCCCCGCATCGGGGCGTCGCGTCACCACCGGCCGGGGCCCACTGCCCCTCTCAAGCGATGCGAATGGTGAGGCTCTCCAGCTCCTCTTCCTCGCTGCTCTCCTCCGAGCCACTCACCAGGTATTTCTTCTTTCCTCCGTAGCCACATTTGTTGTCGTCGTGATCGTGGTTATCAACGTCATAATCGTCGTCGTTGACGTCATCTCCGTAGCCGTTTTCGTCATCATTTTCGTTATAATCGTCGTCGTCGTCATCGTCGTCGTCATCGTCGATGCTCTGATTCTCGGGAGGCGTTGGAAACACCTGCGACAAAAACAAAAAAAACGACAAGTTCGAGATGAGTTGATATAAATGCTACTCAGTGTCTGAACGACCGTTCAGAGTGTGACCACTTTGTAATGGAATGGTCGTCGGATTGGCCAGGCCATGTGTCACAGAAGCATATCGCCTGTCGTAGGGGAGGTTAAATGGGCAATAAGTTAAGTCGGTACCACCGACACAATTGTTAGAGATGTGAAAAATCTTCGAACACTGGTTCCTACTGTGAACCAATAAACGTCTTTTCATGGCCAATGTGTCATCAACTTCATGCACCACTCCAAGACGTAAACGCATTGCACCAGTAATTTATGACATTATTAACAACAGCATTACCACTTCTGTGAATAACAACAGCAAAGTAACGGGTTACGATTGAATAAAAAATTACAGATGTATTTACCGAGCTACACGATGCGACACAGAAAACCGAACACAACGCTCCCATTTGGCATTACATAAGCTGCCCTATTTTGCTTGCCGAGCCACAGATGTCATTTTGCTCCGAGACCTTCCCTCTCTCGCCGGCATCCCGAGCGAGCTCAGGCTCCCCCTGGACCCACACCGATACCCTCCTTTGTGCGTCGAACATTGGGTCAAGGGCCACCTGCGCCGACTCTCAGCTGCGTTCGAGCGCTCGCTCTACGGACAAAGGGGATCGCGGTCACCCCGCCGAGCGTCGCCCATCGCGGTCAGGCCCCGTGCTGAACGCCACTCTCACCTCCATTAATTTGACATTGCAGGGGGTGTTCTCACATTGAGAACACTTTGAAAGCATGTAATTTAACAATAATGCTCATGCCGTGTGTTTATCCGGCGCTCGGTCCCACTGCGAATGCCGCTCTCTCGCCTTTCGAAAGCTTCAAGAATGTAGGAGGCAGCGTAGTTATCGAGTGCACAGGCGGTGCAACTGCACCTGGGCCGAGGGGCCGGAAGGGTGCAGGTACAGGGCAAGAGGACAGGGCCCCCACATTTCATTCCTGGTTGCAGGGCTCATAACAACCACGCCACTTAATGCAGGAGTCTTATTTCAGCACAAAGCACATTCCATAAACAGTGATTTAATAATAATTATATCGTGTATTTATCCAGGGAAAATCTCAACGAGTTTCGAGACCTTTTCAGGAGGAGGGTCCTGCATTGGAATGTTTGGCCAATGCCCTCCTGATGGGTGTTTTGTACAGTCCAGATGGATCTGAAATCTGTCACAAATCAATGTGCTGGATTACAGGCTTGCGCCACCATGCCCAGCTGTTATGTTTGTAGAACATTCCAGAATATCGCACACACACACACAGCGTGAAGTTGTGAAAACGTGTTTTGATGTATGATGCATTACCGATGCATACATATTTGTGAAAACCAGAACATTTTAGAAGAGACTTTTTAGAATAAAATCAAGAAATGTACATTCAAGCTCCCTTGTAATTTTAGGTAACAACATCGGTCATTTATAATCACTCTCGTAACATTTTCTGGATGGAAATGAGCTAAACATTTTTATGACCGAATGTTTCTTCCCTTAATATCACGGTTTACATTAAGAAAATCACGGTAATAACCGCGTAATTAATTGGCATTATAGTTTGTAGCGACAATAGATGTTTTATTCGTAGTTAACGAATTGTGCTGTAAACGCAGCGGACCTGAGTTCTACTCCTGGCCAAGGCTAACATCAGTGGCGAGTGATGCCTGATACAATCCTGGAGCCCAAATTCTTTTATCTCACACGGACCGACGGTGGTGAAGTATGGTTAAATAACCCCCCCGAGTGACTGATGGCAGTTTGAGAAGGCAGTCACAGCTCATTAATTGACAAAGTGCCGTTATATTCGTGGTTCTCTCGGTAAAGTCACGTAGAAGGGAAACAATAAAATATTAAAAATATAAAACAATACAATTCTCACGACGTTTCGACTGCAACACAAGCAATCATCATCAGCTGTGGATTTCACTGCAACACAAGCAATCGTCATCAGGTGTGAAATCCACAGCTGATGATGATTGCTTGTGTTGCAGTCGAAACGTCGTGAGAATTATATTGTTTTATATTTTTATTATTTCATTGCTTCCCTTCTACGTGACTTCACCGAAATAACCAAGAATATGAATCTCTGCAGTCGCGAAAGCTTTAAATCAAAAGTGCCGTCATTTAAGATTGTTATTTTATTATTCCGGTACATGTAATATAACCGAAAGCAACACACGCCATAACACCCACACACACTTCTTCTCGCATTAATAATCATTTCACTCCAGTACAGTGTAATCAATCCGTACACAGAAAACGGAAAGTCAATCTTACGTGGAACACGGCAAACTCGCGGCTATTAGCGCACTAAAAATATTTAACGCAGCGAGGGTTGGGGGGAGGTTGGTGGGACACTATGCATTCAATAAGAACGCCTGTGACTGCAGACCACAGAGAGACCTTCATCCTACGGCATTGTGGAATGCGCACCGATGAATAACAATGGGGATGCATTCGGAGCGTCTGTTATTTATTGACATGTGCGTGTGACCGACTCCCCCGCCGTCGCCTGCACTGGCGCACACGGCTCGCAAATTTTGACGCACGCCAACGGGCGAACTCTCTGCTCCCAACAACAATAAAGGGCACAACAACAACATCAACAACAACAAAAATAAACCAACATAACCCGAGCAAAATAAAGACAGATTGGGTGTTGGCGTCGTCGTCGTCGAGAGAGTCAAACAAGAATCGTGGGAATGAATCTCCCCTCCATCCTCATTTTTCGTTTCACATTTCAGTCACGGCACCCCCCGCCCCCCACGGCTCTCCTTTCCCCCCTCTCTCATTTCCCCCAAAAAATACACGGACACGCACTCGGACAACGCGACAAAGACAAAGATCCACCCCATCCCGTGTCGTCTCAAATGGGCTGTTGGAGCGAGTAGCACCGGCAAAGGCACACGACGGAATCGGTGGTCCAGCACCACGCCCGGGCGCCTTTGTCTCCCACCGGTGGCGATATTTGCTACACACCACACCGGGTGCTCATTTGAGGCCGAGTCGACCTAGGAGAGGCCTAGGACAGGTTCAGACAATCGTCACCGTTTTGGCCGTGGGCGGGAATCGAACTCGGGTGTCCTAGGTTCAAAGCGCAGTGCACTAGCCACTGCAACTCACACTCCCCGCAGATATGCACACACACACAAACATATGCAGACAAACGAGTCATCTTAGGAAATCATGTACAAATGTGCACAGACAACAGCACATGCACATCGGATTATCACGGTTGGTTACGTACGGTGCGAAAGAAGTTCAGCATGCGCACATTCAACACGTAAACATCCACGGGGATTAACCGGTGGACAGGAGCAGGCACATGAACAGATGCACACTGACACAACATTACAGCGCGATGCAATTTGCCTTTTACGCGGCATCAAAACACAAATGCATTTGCAGACGTTGTACTACATGCCCGTGACAGGTCAGCGAGGGTAATTTATCGCCGGCAATGGGAAGACACTTGGGTATAAGGCAGCGCAATGGTAACACTCGTGCCTCAAAGCGAGATTGCCCTGGGTTCCAGTGCCGAATCGGGTGCCTTTTTGTGCGGAATTTGTCCATTCTCCCCCAGTTCTGCATGAGATCCCTCTGGGTTCTCTGGCTTCCTGCCATAGCTAATCCTGGCATTGGTCAAACATTCGAACGCTTAAAGAGTACCTGGAAAATATGACTCAATTGGGAGTACATATAGCAACGTCGCCCTCCACTGTGAAACCTGGGCAGGACCCTCCTGATTAATTCCCCAGTCATTCAATCCATTCATGGTCATTTATTGTCATCAATTTCGCTTTCACCGAATTCACCCATCACAGATTCGCCCCCCATTGCTTCCTCTTCTCTATTTTAATCGCCTCATCTCCACCATTACATTCAGATGTTGTACTGTTCTTAAATATCTGTAAATCTCCTTGGTTAAGGTGCTTTATATATTAAGCTAAGATAAGGGAGGTAAACAATAAACACATTCCTACGGAGGGAGCTGGTAGGAACGTTGGGTTGCTCGGTCAATGGCCAGGGTCAACGGCGGCGTGGTGTATTCCGCAAATATGGCCGATTGTGAGAGCGGGCACAAGCCGGCATGAGCAGGTTAAACGTTGAGTTTTATAAGGGCACCACGGGGTGACCAGCCCCTCCCAGCCCCACCCCTCCCACCCCCCACCCAGCCCCTCCCCACCCTCCCCTCCCCACCCAGACCCATCCCACCCATTTTTGGATGCACGACGGACGGACGGACACAATAATCCCCTGTGGGCTGGTGTAACCAGGAGGTTCCTACCAGTATAATATACATACAGTATGGTACAAAGACAAAGATCCCCCATATAGCCTTAACATACTGTAGGGGCAAGTGCTGTTAGCAAGCACCTATGAAGGCCGGATAGGCACACGAGGGGGTGAGTGGCCAGCACCACGCCCGACCGCCTTTGTCTCCCCAGTGGCGATATTTACACACCGCACCAGGTACTCATTTGAGGCTGAGTCGACCTAGGGGAGGCCCGGGACCGGTTCAGACAATCGTCACTGGTGTTGGCCGTGAGCGGGAATCGAACCCAGCTAGCCAGGTTTATAGCGCAGTGCGCTAACCGCTACACTACCGCTCCTCATACCAGGACACACACATGGTACATGAATGTAACATTACTAGTAATTTACAAGTAGGAAGCTTATGGCTTGAGCAAGAGTACAGAAGATGTAGAACGTGATGGAGTGGCCTCCAAGGAATGGAACGCATCCAAGAGGGCAACCACAAAGGAGATGCAGCAATGAAATCAACTCCTCTATAGGTGCTAGGTTTACCATCATTTCGCAGGATTGCGAGAGGGCTTATTGGGGAGGCCTTTATCCAGCAGTGGACTGACCATGACTAATGATGATTAGAACTGTTATATATAAAACAAAATAAATCTATTACGTTTGACTAGAATGTCCACCCTGAAAATCCAGC